TCATGTCATTAGCACCTCTAGTAATATATTTACTGAGAAAAATGTTGACGTGTTCAATACTTATTTTACCTGCTGTAAATCTAACAACGCGATAAAAATACCTTCCATTAATATAACTAACTCCAGACAAATTGCAAACCCAATAAATATGATATTTTTTCACTTTATTTGTGAAAAAAACAGTCACTTGTGCAAAAGAAGTGTAAACAGAAGAATAAATCTCATCACGACAATATTGCTGCGATGCTGATGTTCATGATACTTAAAATCTTGTCACACTATAACAGTTTTGGCAACTTATGCTGACTTATGAACATTTTATTACAACTACTTTACACACATCAATTATATATTTGATTTATTTGTTATCATTACAATATAGGTCCAAAAAAGGCTTCCAGATGATTTTTTTAATGCCATCGTTAGCTTGCGTGATATGTTTAGTGTTGGACACATTTTTCATAAGTTGCCATAAGTTGTTTAAAATGTTATATGACAGGGCTTTTAGATAGATAAGCGTAATTTTGAGTCCCTTGCTGCAATAAAAATGTATTAGATGCAAACATTTGCACTATTATCAAATATACAAATAAAAAAATGCACAACTGTGTTTTAAGAACATGCTAATTCCTGATGTGCTAAAAGCAGTCATAAGGAGACAGTAAAACATTATCAATGGTTCCATTCTCACCCTGTTGATCAGTTCTCCCACCATGCCGGTCCAGCTGCCGTTTGGTTCAGGAGCTCCATACAGGCCATCATCCACCAGCTTGATCTTAAAGGAGAACTTCAGGATATCTGCCAGTTCTCGCAGCATGTCCACACAGAATCCTTCGTACTGATCATTCCCCTTATAGTCCTGGTAATTGGACTTACGCATTACGTAAGGATTTTCCTGTCCAAAGAAAAGGGACAACATGTTTCAGCCATGTTCCAAAATGGATAAAAAAAATGCTTTAAGCTTGAATATATTTTTATTTAACAGYGTTTTATTACCAGTATTGTGGTTACAATTAAGGACTTGTTAGCCAACGTCTCTGACGCATTCAGGTCCAGGGAAGTAGAGTTCATGGCCAGTGTGTTGTTGGAATACCAAGTACCAATCTGTGATAGAAGGAAAAAAAAAAGTTAGAAAAAAATGTGAATTAAAATAAATGATGAACCAAAAGAAACACCAACAAAAATGAACAAACAAACAAACAAAAATTGCCATGTTCTGCTGGTTTGTCAAAGCAAAACAATTCAATTATGATATATCCTCAGCTTTTCAAGTGGTCTTGACCAATTATTAACAGTTGATTACATCTAATTAGTCTGGAAAGTTTCTGAATAATTTCATGTCTAATCAGGTCAAATCAACATTTTTTTTCAAATCCAACAAATCAGAACAGAAAGAATATGAAGGCACATATGAAAGTGACAGAAAATCTTTTTCAGAAAGATATTTTTTTCCCCATAAGAGTGTAGGAAGAGAAAGTCACAAGSTTGAAACAAAAACGGTTTAAAGAAAAGAAAACTACACATTCTGACAGAAGATTCTCTGAAGTTAAAGTGTTCACAGCACCGCYTGAATAAAATGTGAATTACTGCCAACTCTAAAATTTTTACCACCCACATTAACTCAGGGCGATAAACCCATTTGACCCTGTGTTAACTACTGATGATATCTGCCCTTTTAATATTATTCTGGGATCCCAAACCCACCCTTCGCCTGTTTTTAGTGACTTTATTGACCATCCAGTGAAGAAGCTGCAGATTGCAGAGCCTTCTGGTTTCCCAAAATGGTATTCCCAAAAAATAAAAAAGGGAAAAGGAGTTATGTTTCCAGATATTTGCTGTCGCCTTTTGCWAAAGAACCGTCTGACATTCAACAGAATGTTAATTAATGGCAAATTTACCATATTACTCTAATTTAATTTGTAGCCAACAATGTAACCCTGACTGATCTCTGACCTCTTTATGACCTGCAGGGTGTTTCTCCAAGATCTTCAGGGTGTAATTGGTCCTCTGTCCTTTGCTGTTAAACTCAATGTGACCAGTGAGTCCATCATATTCCACCTAATAAAAAAGAGAATAAATCAAAACCTTTGTTAGAACCAATCAAACTTAGATCCTTTTGGATCTAACTAAATTAAATTCACTGTTTGTAGATTGAAGCCGGGCTTGTTTGCTTCTTTTCCTTTTAGCACTTTTAGATGTTTTTATTTTTTTTTTTTGTCGAGGGTTCACTATATCAAACTGAATCAAGCAATAAATATGCTCTGCAACTGTTACAAAGACTTCGAATTGTTTCAGTTTATTTTAACACAAAAAGCTATTGATGCAGAGATGTTAAGTCAGAGAAAAAGAATCATAAAAATAAGCTCATACCCTAAAAAAACATTGAAAATATAAAGTGCAAAAACAGACAGTTCATCAGATCAGTGACAGAGCAGCTGGAACACGCGTGCTCGCAGAAATGTGCAAATAAGTGTGAGGCTTGTGCGATGCATGTGCAGTCAAGCACGCGTTTTGTTCCGGAGCTTATGTGAGTTATGTGTAATAGAGTACAAATACAGGATGACTTTTGTGTGTATGTATATGTGTGTGTGTGTGTGTGTGTGTGTGTGTGTGTGTGTGCATGACTCAAGATGAATTACATCTCAAAAACAGTGGAGCGAGAGAGACAGAGAGAGGGAGAAAGGTCCCTGGTTGCTGCCAAAACCCAGTGATGATGAAGTGATGCACTGTGAGCTACAAAAACAATATGGAGAGAGAAGCTTCATCAGTAGATAAAAAAATAAATAAAAATAAAAAAGACAGACAGATACAAACAGGGGAAAAGGAATATGAGAATAAATCAAAAAAATCTGAAAATGATAAAGGACAAAAGAGAAATATGCCTTAAAAGTATCAAAAATAGGAAGAAATCTTTCGTTTTCCAGCATCCATTAAAACTACACATCAGTTCTGCTCTGAGTTGCAGAATACGGCACATAATTTATGATGAAACTAGCAAAGCTTCTAAAATGTTTCTACAAAATATGGATTATGCTACCATACTGACCCCGCTTGCTGAAATTAAGGGTGATGTTTGGACAAAAATGTGTTTAATGATTCTTATTAGAGAAGGAGACAACAACAATAGACACAAAACAAATGTGGCGAGTTATGCAACCAGGAGAAGCAGACATCAAAGCACAGAGGACATGCACAAAGGGATATAAAACAAGCTTTACGGTGTGCAAATGATTAGAGATGATGTTGTAGCTGTCAGATTGATTAAAATAGGGTTGTATCTGACAGAATGTTTACTCCGACAGATTACAGACTGCATACAGACTCATTTAAACGCGACATCTTGCTTTTAAATCCTGATTTTTCACACTGAAATCCATCAGTTGGGGTCTGTATAAATTGTAACTGCAATTCTTGGTCTGAATTCCTCCATATTGTAACTCCACAAGCCCCTCTTTCTGAGGCGCATCTCAGGTCGACTCGTTTTGAGGCTGTCTCTTTAAATCCAAACGTGCTGCTTCACACCCCGCCCCCAATGTAATAGTTCAGAAAACATCATATAAAATACACTCATTCTCACTCCATCTAATCAAGTTTTAAAATCTTAATTCCAGCTAAAATAAACAAATAATTAATATTAATAATAATAATAATAATAATAATAATAATAATAATATTAAGACCTTGTTTTGAGACTGATTTACTAAACAAGAAAAGAATGTGCGGATTAATAATCTTGTTAGCCTGGAAATTTAACTCAAATTAAGTGAAACAAAAGTCCAATGGAGTAAGACAATTGCACTTGGTAAAATTCTTGAAATAAGATTTTTTTTTCTTAATTTGAGTCAAATTTCCAGGCTAACAAGATGAATAATCTTACACATTCTTGGCTAGAGAAAAACGGTACAGGTTGAAACCATGACCCAAACACAAATACAAAGATCTGCAACACTGGGAGACACTAAATGTAACTTTTCTGCACTCCTACAGGCTCCGTGTACACAAACAGATGCATTTAATGACTAAAAAGTGAAATTTCCATGTTGTATTTTATTGTCTTTAACTTGTTCAGGTGTGTTTGTTTACCATGCGGAGGTAGTTCATGAGGCTGGTTCCGTGCTGCCAGATGAGTGGGGAGGTGCAGCTCAGAGGTTTCACTCCAATCTCCTGACTTCGGTTCAGTTCCCGCACGGCGCTCACCACCACGTGAACAGCATCAAACATCAGCGCTGATGACAGCTAGGTAAAAAAAAAAAATATTAAAAAAGGCTAATTTTGTTGTGATTTTTGCCTCACTCAGCAGCACGAATACATAAAAGAACCTATTTATGTAAAATCACAAAAACCCAACCTGCATGAAGAGGAGAAAGTGGCCAAAGTACAACAATAAAAAGTGACAAAATGATTCATCACCAGGTTCATTTAATAAAAMAARAAAAATCAACACTTCAACAGCAATCACCAACAATGTTTCAGCATCGAGAGCAGAAAGATTTTAAACACAATAAAACTGTAAAAGAGAAGGAAATAAATCTTTAGGAAACCAACTGGATATGACTAAACTGATTGCAGCTTTGTTGTTGAGTTTTATTTTTGTATTGTTGCATGTTTTTTTTAAATTTTTTAAAGAAATTATACATTGAATAATTTGTCAGTGTCTCATTGTTAAATATATATTCTCTCACTAATCTGAGATCACTGATAACTGCCTTAATAAAAAAGAGAAATCATCCATTTCTGGGAAAAAAAATACCAACATTTTAGTCCTGTTTGTGAAGTTTTTGTACAGTCAAAAGGTTATTCAATTTACCTTGAATGTGAAGCTATTGTTGAGTGTAAGATATGAAACAGTAGACACAAAGAAAAACATATATTTTTTATTTTTTTATGGAGGGGGGGTAATGACAGTAGAAAGAGGCAAAGTAAATCACACCTGATATCAGCTGTGTTCAGTTCATGCAACTGAGTGATTCTATCAGAAAGTGTTTGGTCAGTTGTCTGTCAAACCGACTCTCTTGGGGAATCAGATAAGTTTTGTGGAAGYCGAGCTGCCCAATCTGTCTGAGGCTGATAAAAAAGACAGGCGTACCAGCGGACTGAGATTTTCAACAAGCCGCTGGATTTGTGGCTTAATGATGAGAAAAAACTGATGAGGAAGGATGGGGGAAGGACAACTTGATATGACTGGTCGCTTTCACAAGTGTCTGGTGGCMCAGCTGTTTCTACAAGCATGTGTCACTTTGCAGTGAGTTCACTCCTCATGTMTCCTGTTACTCTGAGATCATGCTGTCACTTCTGGTCGACAGTAGATGGAGTGCTCTTAATCGGTATTCAAGCCAGTATGTTTTATTATAAAACAAGTAGGCACAAAATATTACAAACTATGATTATTAGACTGGGAGATGAGATTTACATATATGGATAAGTTATACTGCATGTGTGATAAAGCAACTTCAACTGGTAGAATTAAACATAATTTGTGATTAAATCTCCTTAAAATATTCTACCTGTTACCAATACTACAGTTCTATAAATGTAGGCAAAACAAATTATTTTATCAGGACAAAAGATAATAAATTAACAAACAAAATTATGAGACACAAGCTTTTACTACATCTTGTTTTGTTCAACTTTACATTTTTTTTGCTAACAAAACACATTAAATGCAGGAATTACTGTTAGCTGTTTTTTTTTATCTTACTAGGAAGAACAATATGAAACTAGTGACTTAAAGTTTCCCTTTGTTCATTTATATGATGGGTCCAAACAACAGTTTGCARGATAATTCCAATGTAAATCCTTTTGAAAAGCTTTTTATGGGATTTTAGAAGTGCACAGACAACCTGCTTTACTCGTACTTCCTTCTATCTCATTCCTTATTCTGCTCTGTTCTGAACAAAGRCAAACATCATTTGGCTCAAATCACTGTCTCATCCATTTATTTCCCTCGTTTGTTTGCATAGTCTCATCTCAGCACAGCTTCAACCACACCCAAAAAAAAAAAAAAAACTGTGCAAGAGGAAACTGGACTAGAAACTTATATGGATATGAAAAAAAAACAGTAAAATATATTATATTTTAAATTTTGTTTAAAATCTTTGGACTAAATGTTATTTTTTA